ATACATGCGGGGTTTTGCTGTAACATAAATCTGGAAGGATGATCAACATCCTTGGTCATCACTGATCATCGCTGTCTTAACAAGTGAAACATATATTGCACCTTGCATGTATGGTTGTCACTGCCATTGTTGAATATTTGTAAAATGCACTACTAACTATGTGAAGTCAGGCCAATACACCAATACATTAACCATTTTAGTGTTCTGCAAACAGAATAGAAGAAGGGGTGAATTAATAATCAGATTAAAAAATTATGTATAATTAGTCTATTTTCAATCATCAATTAGAAAATTATTATTTCCAAAATAATAAGCCCATTTAAATGGTCCTAAATATATCACATCACCTCATTAAATCACGTATAATTTACGACCATCATTTCCCCATTTTTATTTACAAAAATTTCAACAGCATAGCTGTTCAATTTTCAGTATGATAACCTTGGATATCTCATGAATGACCTTTGTTTTAGAAGCACAAAGCCCCGGATTTATTTTTATATCATTGGCAAGCCAAATCACTAAAGCAGCGTAGCGTAAACAACACATAGAACAGTACTTTTCGTTATGTTATCAAATGCGATGTACGTTCGAGCAGAAAAAAGATTTCAGACAGCTCACCTTTTCAATCCTTTTAAACTGCTGTCAGTTGCCTTCTGGTATGTCCGATCTCAACAGTAACGATACTTTCAGTACCTATCACAAGCTGTACAATGAGTTTCGATGTGTTTGTGAGCTCAAATTTATCCGACAACGGATAAAATTCTTTATTATATCTTTTAGTTAGTACGCACGCTGTGATTGGTCAATTTAGCGGGCCGTACAGGAGAGTACGGCCCGCTAAGATTTAAAGTTGGTTTTGTTGCAAAACTGTTTTGTGATTTATCGCCAAGTGTTCTTAATTTTTATAGCAAGTAAAAGTTTAAAACTTTCTTTTATTCTAACTTGTGTATTAAAGCGTGCTAACGACTTAAAAATGATTTCAAATTGACTCGTTTTGCTTTCGAGGTTCGTCAGAAATTTGAAGCCGTTACGCGTGAATAGAAATCGTTCCTGAACCCGTCAGACACACAGTAGAGATATAATAAATATCTTACTAACCTCGTTTTCTCGGTTCGTACTGTAAGTTACGGATCCTCGTTTTTTCTCCTTCGATTTATGGCCCAAGCGCGAAGCGCGCGGGCCATAAATCGAAGGGGACAAACCTCGGTCCGCAACTTACAGTACGGCCCTCGAACTCGGGTTAGTAGAGTTAGTAGTCTAGTCCCGATACCTGCGTTTAACAACTGGAAATCTAACCAACACTGTCGATGCTACAAGCCGCCGAAAAAATGGCGGCTTCCAAGGCAACGGGTTTAGTGCCCAGTTCTCCTCGCTTCGATCCAGGATAAATCGTGCGCGACATGAGCGCGACATCATTTATCCAAGGGAATGCTGTATGCCAACTTAAAAAGGAGAGTTGGTACAAAATCCTTTCTTGTAAAAATAGTTTTTTTTTGCATTTTTACGCAATTGTTTTTTTTTTTAAATTCAGATGGTTTTAAAGCTCGCGCTCTGAAAAAAACCTTTTCTTTGATGTTGATATTGTGGTAAAAAACAAACCGAAATGTGGGTAAGAGTGGTCTGTATTCTTATCGACAACGATACGGGTCATCACAGTAGTCAAAATGTTGTGGACTCACGAGGCTGCAACATTTTGACCACTTTGATGACGCGTATCGTTGTCGATAAGAGGACAGAGCACGCTAAACCACATTCGATTTGTTAAATGCATGCAATTGCAATTTTAAAGCCGCTGCCAGAGGGACTATCCTTGAGCTTCAAAGGATAACTATAAATGGTCGAAAGTGAAGGTACTAGAACAGAAATTTAGCACATTAAAAGAAAGGAACTCAAAACAAGCCTACTACAAATGGAGCAAAATTTAAAAAAAATACATAAAACCGGTAGGACTCACTGACTTTTGATGTGCGAAGTGAGCTAGAGATTTAAACTCATCTTGGTGTCTGTTAGGAGTAGAGATGAACCTGAACAAAGATTGCAAAATGCGTTTCTGACACATCATTCAAACTATCCGACAAGCATCCCTCGTCATTTTACTTGTTAGTCAGTAGAGGTTTTGCACTGCAGCCATGTTGCATGGCAGGAAAAATGAAAATGTTT